CCTGACAACGTTCCTGTACCACTTGGCAACAAAACTGTATTCCAATAAAGCATAACTTTTCCTGAAGAGTGTGCTTGGACTTGCATGCTGTTGACCCTGACAACAAGAAACCTCCAGGATCCCTGTCACTAGAATTCCCAGTCTGCCATGGACACTCCGTGGGTGACCTTGGGGCAGTCACACACACTTAGATTAACCTACCTCGCAGGGTTGTCATGAGGATAAAATGGAGGAGAGGTGGGGTAAAAAAGAATTACATAAATAAAAACAATAAATCTTAATTAATCTTTTTCCTGTTCCAGCTACGAGAGGGCAGGCAAAGGAGAAGAAGAGATTAGATTTATACCCGGCCCTTCGCTACCCAAGGGAGTCTAAGAGCAGCTTACAATCTCCTTCCCCTCCCCACAACACATACCCTGTGAGGTCGGTGGGGCTGAGAGAGCTCTGACAGAAACGGCTCTTTTCCAAGGACAGCTCTTATCAGAACTACGGCTTGCCCAAGGTCATCCAGCAGGTGCAAGTGGAGGAGTGAGGAAGATTAGAGTCCACGCACTTAACCACTACACCAAACTGGTTTTTGTACAAGGGACTCTACCAATGTTCCCTTTAAGCTGTGGAGTCTTGTGAGCAAAACCTCTACTTTGTGAGCTACTGGCATTGTGAGCAAGCAATTTGGCTACTGCATAAATTAGTTTGCTCTGGAGCCATCCTTCCTGAGCTAAGATAAAAATGTGTGAGCCAGAGGCTAAAAAACTGTGAGCTAGCTCACACTAACTCAGCTTAGAGGGAACAGTGGACTCTACAGACGCTACGCAATATCAACGCGAACCCTGAGTCTGCTACAAAGTACACCTGCACTAAAAATGCCTTTCTCACACTAACGGCAATCAGATGCTCACATAAACTGGCTTCAAGAGGTACAGGATCCATTTGAGAGAATTTATGAAATTGCGCTTTGGGTCATGGCTTCCTATCTCGCCTGCCCATCTTTGGTTCCAAGTATTCTCTTCTGGGTTAAGCCTCGAACGAGGCTAGTTCCAAGAAGTGTTGTGTAATAACAAGGGGGTCTCCAAGCATACGCAGAGTGCTTGTAATAAACAGAACCTGCCCCCTGCATCACTTACTGAAATGCTCACACGGTCACAAGGCGATTACTTGCACCCCAAACATCAATGTCAAGATTGCAAAATCCACACGACAGGATACAACACTCCAAAACCAATTTTTAATGTATGTCCCGTATTGAGAATCTGAATTGTCCGCAACCAGAGAATCTGTTCCCCTGGAGGAAATGGATGCTTTGGAGGGGGGACTCTCGGGCATTGCACCCCACTGAGGTCCCTGTCCACCCCAGGCTCCATCCTCCAAATCTCCAGGAGTTTCCCAACCTGGATCTGGCCACCCTATATCCCCCATCCCCTGCCAGTGGCCTGGGAGGTACCTGGCAACACTACGCAGAGTCAACCCTTCCTGGCACTCCATGGAATTCACTGCCACAGGAAGTGGTGGCGGCTACAAGCATGGACGGCTTCAAAAGTGAATTAGATAAGCATATAGAGCAGAGGTCCATCAGTGGCTATTAGCCACAAGGTATACATAGGAACTCTCTCGGTCTGGGGCAAGGGATGCTCTGTATTCTCGGTGCTTGGAGGGGGGGGCAACAGTGGGAGGGCTTCTAGTGTCTTGGCCCCACTGCTGGACCTCCTGATGGCACCTGGTATTTCTGGCCACTGTGCAACAGAGTATTGGACTAAATGGGCCACTGGCCTGATCCAACATCGGCTTCTCTTATGTTCTTATATGGAGCAGAGGTCCATCAGTGGCTATTAGCCAAAAGGTATAGATAGGAGCTCTGGGGCAAGTGATGCTCTGTCTTCTTGGTGCTTGGGGGGGGGGGTCAACAGTGGGAGGGCTTCTAATGTCCTGGCCCCACTGGTGGAACTCCTGATGGCACCTGGTATTTTTGGCCACTGTGTGACACAGAGTGTTGGATTGGATGGGCCTTTGGCCTGATCCAACACTGGCTTCTCTTATGTTCTTATGTTTAACCCTCCAAAGCATCCATTTCCTCCAGGGGAACTGATCTCTCTCATCTCAAGACAAGAACAGAAGAACAGAAGAGAAGCCCATGTCGGATCAGGCCAGTGGCCCATCCAGTCCAACACTCTTGTGTCACACAGTGGCCAAAAACACCAGGGGCCACCAGGAGGTCCAGCAGTGGAGATCTGTTCTAACAGCAGGGTATCGAGGGATGCCAGCCTCCAGGTGGGACCTGGGGAACACCCCAGAATTATAGCTTCTCTCCAGACTACAGAGATCAGTTGCCCTGAAGGAGACGGGTGCTTTGGAGGGTGGCCTCTCTGGTACCCCACTGAGGTCCCTGTCCACCCCAGGCTCCGTCCCCAAATCTCCAGGAGTTTTCCAACCTGGAGGTGGCAACCTTATCCTGTGCCGGTGCCCAGGCAGTATCTGGCAAACCAGAGTCCCCCTCCAATGCATCCGTTTTCTCCAGGAAAGCCGATCTCTGTTGTCTCAAGTCCAGTCCTAATAGTGGGATCTCCCCAGGCTAGGGAGGCCAGCCTCCAGGTGGGACCTGGGGACCAGTGCTCCCTCTAAGCGGAGTCAGTGTGAGCCAGCTCACAGTTCTTTAGCCTCCAGCTCACACGTTTGTCTCAGCTCAGGCAGGATGGCTCCAAAGCAAACTGATTTACGACGCAGCCAAATCTGTCCTAACAGCAGGCTACAACCTGGAAAAATCTACAACGGCTCGTAGTCCAATCGCTCGCTCACAACCGAAGCTCCCTCGAAGCTGTGGAGTCTTGTGAGTAAAAACTCTACTTTGTGAGCTCCTGGCATGAAAGTTGTGAGTAAGTAATCTGGCTACTGCTTAAATTAGATTGCTCCGGAGCCCTCCTTCCTGAGCGAAGACAAAAAGCTGCGAGCTGGAGGCTGAAAGACTGTGAGCTAGCTCACGCTACCTCAGCTTAGAGGGAACACTGCTCACCACTTTAAAGCCAGTCGCTCGCAAGGTTGTATTTTTGCTCACAAGACTCCATGGCTTAGAGGGAGCATTGCTGGGGACACCCCCCCCCCCCCGAATTACAGCTCCTCTCCAGACTACAGGAAAAGGCTGCTTTGGAGGATGACACTGTACCCCCCCGAGGTCCCTGTCCTCCCAGCCAGTCTGGTGTCGTGGTGAAGTGCTGAGTGAGTGTGAGCTAGCTCACAGTTTTTCAGCCTCCGGCTCACACATTTTTGCCTCAGCTCAGGAAGGATGGGGCTCCAGAGCAAACTAATGAATGCAGCAGCCCAATCGCTCGCTTACAACTTTCATGCCGGTGGCTCCCAAAGTAGAATGTTTGCTCACAAGACTCCACCGCTTAGAGGGAGCATTGCTCCAGAGCAAACTAATGGATGCAGCAGCCAAATGGCTTGCTCATGACTTTAATGCTAGGAGCTCCCAAAGTAGAATTTTTGCTTACAAAACTCCACAGCTTAGGGGGAACATTGCTCACAGGGTGCCTGTGGTGGGGAGGGGAAGGGAAAGGAGTCTGTGAGCTGCTCTGAGACTCCCTCGGGTAGTGAAGGACCGGGTATAAATCCAATCTCTTCTTCTTTTATCTCACAGGGTGTCTGTAGTGGGGAGGGGAAGGGAGAGGAGTTTGTAAGCCGCTCTGAGACTCCTTTGGGTAGTGAAGGGCGGGGGATAAATCCAATCTCTTCTCCTTCTTTTACCTCACAGGGGGTGTCTGTTGTGGGGAGGGGAAGGGAAAGGAGTTTGTAAGCCGCTCTGAGACACCTTTGGGTAGTGAAGGGCAGGGTAGAAATCCAATCTCTTCTCCTTCTTTTACCTCACAGGGGGTGTCTGTTGTGGGGAGGGGAAGGGAAAGGAGTTTGTAAGCCGCTCTGAGACACCTTTGGGTAGTGAAGGGCAGGGTAGAAATCCAATCTCTTCTCCTTCTTTTACCTCACAGGGGGTGTCTGTTGTGGGGAGGGGAAGGGAAAGGAGTTTGTAAGCCGCTCTGAGACACCTTTGGGTAGTGAAGGGCAGGGTATAAATCCAATCTCTTCTCCTTCTTTTACCTCACAGGGGGTGTCTGTTGTGGGGAGGGGAAGGGAAAGGAGTTTGTAAGC